TCCCAGTGTGAGTCCTTCCAATGGCAGTACCTCTCACATGTTGAGGTTTGGTGGTCAGGGATGATGGTCCCTCCTTTCCTGTCCTGCTTAGATAACAATCTGTTATAAACTTTGGGGAACCCCACTTTTTATATACTTTTTGTGTGGCATCCCAGTTAGCATCTATGCTAGACCTTCATTTAGGATAAGGGTCTGGTACACATGGATGGAATGCCTGGCTGTTTGTTTACAAACAGAAGTAAGCAGATGGGAGCTGTCATTTACCAGCAATTTAGTAATCTTATTTTAATTATTAAATGTCAGCTTTTCTGCAATAGGTTGTTTTACATCATACAAATTTGTTATGTGGGGTGAAGATGTGCAGGTTTGCAGGTGATAAACTCAGGGGTGGCAACCCCAGAGGTAACTGCAACCCCCAACAGCTGTAAGAGTAACCAATCTAGTAAGAGTGTTTAGGGTAATGCAGGGAGGACTAAACAGTTCATTGGGGATTCTAAAATCAGACGGGCTGATAGAATCATTTGTCACCAGGATTGTCTCAGTCAAATCATTTGCTGTCTCCCTGGTGTCAGGGTTTGGCATGTGGTGGAATAGGATGACAGATTACTGGAACGGGCTGGGCATGACCCAGCTGTCTTGGTTCATGTTGGGACCAATGACAGAATACATTAAAGATGGAGGATCCTTAAGAATACATTTAAAGAACTAGGCTGCAAGTTGAAGGGTAGGACCTCCAAGGTTAAATTATCTGGAATATTGCCTGTGCCATGAGCAACACTGGACAGGCAGCAGGGGCTTAGAAAACTGAATGCATGGCTAAAGACTATGTAAGAGGGAAAGATTTAAGTTTTAGAGCACTGGACTGACTTTTCATTGGGGTACAACCTTTGTGCTAAAGATGATTTGCACTTAAATGTAAGGGGCTCTTATGGGAAGGTTGTAGGACTATTTAAACTAGGATTGAAAGGGGAGAGATAATTAGAATATAATGCGGCAGACAGGGTTCAGACAATAATGGAAGACAGAAAAAGGGAAAATAGGGGGAGGGCTATGGCAGGAGTTAAGGAGATTCCCATTTTACAAACAACAATTAGTAATTACAGTACTATTTGTATTACAAAACAAGATATGCAAAACACAATTGCAAAATGCAATGATAGATTAAAATGTTTGTTCACCAATGCCAGAGGTCTTCAAAGCAAAATAGGTGAGTTAGAAACGAAAGTACACTAGAAGAACTTCAAGGTTAATTATTGCAGTTTGCCAGGCCCCCAGTATTAATGAGGAGGTGGAGAATCAGCTCCTTGCATAGACAGAAAGGGACTGTGGAAAACAAATGAGAGATTTTAACTACCCTGGAATTGAACGGAGTAATAGCACTACTGGAACAGTAAAAGGACGAAAATGTATAAACCTATTACAAAAGTATTTTATGGCACAGTTTATGGATGCCCTAACTAGAAATGATGCTTTGCTGGACCTGGTAATATCAAACCATGTGGATCTTATTACTAATGTTTATCCAATATAACATCTGGGTAGTAGCGATGATAACATGATTTCATTTAACCACTAGGGGACCGCTTGCAGTAAATATACGTATTACTGCAGGACCACGTATATAAACGGGTAGGGGGCGTCGATCGCAGCTGCGGATGTCAATCATTAGGTCCCGGGTTTCCTCCCTGTCAGCTTCAGCACACTGTTCCGGGATCGCAGGTCACAGCAGCCTCCCGGAACAGTGTGTAACAGAGTAGTACACACCCCAACCCCCTAGTAAAACACTCCCCTCACACAGTTAACCCTTTCATTGTCTCCAAAAGTTAACCCCTTCCTCCCCAGTTCTATTATTACAGTGTCAGTGTTTTTTTTTTGCACTGATCACTGTATTGGTGTCATTGGGGATGTCAGTGACCCCAAGTCAGTTCCTCCCCAGTGTCTGAATGTCAGTCCTGCCATAACTCGCTGATCGCTGCCATAAGTCGCTGATTGCCGCCATAATTCGCTGATTGCCACTATTATTAGTATAAAAAAAAAAATCCAGTATCTATACCGTCATTTGTAAACGCTATAACTTTCACGTAAAGCAATTAATTTAAGTGTATTGGGATTTTTTTTTTAGCAAAGACATGTTGCAGAATACATTTTGGCTGAAATTTATGACGAAATTTGATTTTTACATTTTTGTACTGGACATGTTTTATAGCAAAAAGTCCAAAATATTGTTTTTTTTCTTAAAATTTTGGGCTTTTTTTTTATAGTGCAAAGAATGAAAAACTCACAGGCGATCAAAAACCACCAAAAGAAAGCCCAATTCGTGGGGAAAAGAAGATGTTAATTTAATTTTGGTGCAGCGTTGCATGACCACGTAATTGTCAGCTAAAGTAACACAGCGCCGTAACACAAATCGCTTATGTAACCGCGTCCTGACCACCCTATAGCAGAAATACTGCTACAGGGCAGCACAGGTGCACAAAATCACATATATATATATATATATATATATATATATATATATATACACGTGATTTGTGCTCCCGTGGTTTTCACGCCCCTCCCAGATGGCATCAGATTGCCTGTCAGTACACCAATAATCACATTTAACCCCTTGATTGCCAGGAAGACGCTCATACACAATAAACCTCCATTGCTAGTACAGTGTCTGAACGGATTAATATATTTGATCAGATCAGAACTATACCAGCGTTCACATTAGTATAGCGTCCCCAAAAACGCAGCGTTAGCGGGATCAGCCCCGGAACCTGCCAGCACCTGCGTTTAGCCCCTACGCTTACCCCCCCTTCTCGCCCAGCAAGTGCAGTGTCAGTAGGTCACTGTCACTTGATACATTGCACACAAAACCGCAGTGTTCGCAGAATCAGGCCTGATCTCTGTTAGCACTTCCCGGTAAATTTTGATGACTCTCATATGCACAAGAGTGCCAGTACTACTGCCTCGATAACATTTGGTGAACTGGTTAGCACCAGCGGTCTAGTACATCTTGGTCTTTCAAATACCTCTTAGATTGTAAGCTCCAAGGATCAGACCCTCCTAACTCTCTTGTATTGAACTGTATTGTTGCTGTATTGTCTCCCGTTATATTGTAAAGCGCTGAGCAAACTGTTTGCGCTATATAAATCCTGTATTATAATAATAATAATAATACCATCACTGCAGTATGACTTGGCAATGTGGCGAGTCCCATAAGTGCAGTACAAGCTGGTGCGGTGGCGAGCACAAGTATTGTCCCGCAGCCACAAAGAATTCTCACACAGGCCTGCAGAGCCCCTAGTATCCTTCCGATTGGCAACCCACAAATTCTGCAGTACCCGTACTTCCCCCATTCACTGCCGAACCCGGAATTCAGGTGGAAATAGCAAATTTAACTTCTCCCCTTGATTTTTGGAGCTTTTTTCACGGAAGATCTGTATGCATTGATTATGGAACAAAGCATTTTATATGCACAACAATGTATCGCCGCCAACCAAAATTCAAACCTTGCCAGACCATTCGAATAGAAACCCATTACGGTTTTCGAATTTATATTTTTTTGGGGCCTAAGCCTCAACATGGGCATTACTAAAAAAAATTAATTGCGGTTGTATTGGTCCACAGACCCGATTCATCATATGCCGTGTTCTCTGCTGCCATGGCCAGGCACAGATATGAGAGTATAATGTGTTTTATGCATTTCAACCACAATACACTCTGTCATCCTCGGGGTGACCCTGAATTTTATTTGCTCCACAAAATTCAGCCCCTCGCAAATCACCTTAACCAAAAATTTGCAGATGTCTATACTCCCCAGAAAAACATCTGCGTTGATGAGTCCCTCATTAATTTTTCTGGCTGCCTTGCATTCAAACAATTTCTCCCCAGCAAGCGTGCCAGGTATGGGGTCAAGATGTAGAAGACCTGTGAGAGGACAACAGGCTATACTTATAAGTTTCGGATTTACAAGGGAAAAGATAGTCAGGTGGAGCCCCCTGGATGCCCAGACTACATGGGGAGTAGTGGCAAGATAGTTTGGGACTTGGTGTCATCCTTTTTCCATATGGGGTACCACTTATATGTGGACTATTTGTATTCAAGCGTGCCACTATTTAGACATTTGTTCAATCTTGGAACTGGCGCTTGTGGCAAAGTGTGACCTAATGTGTGCCCACCATCAGAAGTGGGTGGATGCAGGGCAGTATATTCTAATGGTGGGTATACCACACACTTTTTTTTTTGGCAGAGATTTTTCTCTTTTTTTTCATACAGTCCACAGACTGCATACAAAAAAAAAAAAAAAGAACATAGCATATATACCCAACAAGGACCAGCGACGTACTGGTACATCACTGGACTTTGAATGGTTATACCATCATGATGCCTACAGCTGCAGGCATCATCCTGGTATCATTTTTTTCAGCTGGCTTCATGGGTTTCATGTAAAAGCAAACCTAGTGGCTAATTAGCTGCAGGATTGCTTTTACAAGCAGTGGGAGACAATGCCCCCGCTCCCCGGCTGCCTTCCACGGCTTTCTCGGGCAGTCCCATGCCATCAGGGGAAACTGAGAATGCAGCCGGTGTTTCTGCCAGCTGACCATAGAGCTGATTGGAGACCAGAATGGTGCCACTCATCTCTATAGCCTAAGAAATCAGAAGCTACGAGCATTTCATCACTTCAGTTTCGCAGGATATAAACAGCGCCATTTGTAAATTGGGAAAGCATCTGATCACACCGATCTTGGTTTGATTAGATAATGTAAGGGCAGAGGAGATATCTAGAGTCTGATAGAACCCAGATTTCTAAAAAAATTATAAATGACAATGCCCATTAAAGTTATAGGGGATATTTGCATTCCCTGTGATAGCATTAACCACCTTCCACCCGCCATATAGTACAATGATGGGTGCAAGGTGGTTCTCTCGTTCTGATAGGACGTCATATGACGTCCTTCCATTCTCACCGCGCATGCGCGGCTCAGGGAGCGCGCGCAGCGCAGCGATCGCCTATGCGCTGTGTCCCTCGGACACAGCGGATCATGGATCATGGAAAGAGCAGAAGATGTCGGCTCGGTCATGTAATCAGCTGTGTCCAATCACAGCTGATCACATGTAAACACGGAAATGCCGACTATGGGCATTTCTCTCCTCTTGAGCTGTCAGTGCCAATCAGTGCTGCCTATCAGTGCCAGTCAGTGCCATCTATCAGTGCCAGTCAGTGCTGCCTATCAGTGTCATGTATCAGTGCTCTTTCAGTGCCCATCAGTGATGCCTGTCAATGCCCATCAGTGCAACCTACCAGTGCCTCCTCCTCAGTGCCCATTAGTGCCACGTATCAGTGTCCATCAGTGTAGCCTATTAGTGCCCATCACTGCAGCCTCATTAGTGCACATCAGTGAAGGAGAAAAATCACTTATTTACAAAATTGTATAACATAAACTAAGAAAAAACTTTTCTTTTTTTTCAAAATTTTCAGTGGTTTTTGGTTTGTTTAAGAAAAAATAAAAATCCCAGAGGTGATTAAATACCACCAAAAGAAAGATCTATCTGTCACAAAAAAATGATAAAAATGTCATATGGGTACAGTGTTGCATGACCGCGCAATTGTTATTCAAATTGTGACAGCACTGAAAGCTGGAAATTGGCCTGTTCAGGAAGGGGGTATAAGTGTCCTGTAGGCAAGTGGTTAAAAGTGATAAAAAAAAAAAAAAAAAAGAGACCATGTAAAAATAATTAAAAGAATCAAAATAACTTTAAAAAAAAGAAAAAAAAAAGTACCCTCACCACCCCCGCGCACACGTGTGTTCGTGAGCCTTGACCCTGTGTCAGTATGGAAACAGCAGTTGCACAATGCATGTGAGGTATCACCACAAACATCAGATCAAGGGCAGTAACACTAGACCTCCTCGATAAATCTAAAATGGTAGCTTGTAAAGGCTTTTAAAACGTTACCTATGGATATTAAAAATGTATGCCGTTTGTCGCCATTGCACAGGGCATGCAGTTTTAAAGCATGTCATGTTTGGTATCTATTTACTCGGCACACCATCATCTTTTATATTGTACCAAATAATTGGTCAATAGATTGTGTTTTTGTGCATTAAAAGTAAAAAATTTTTTTTTTTAAGTTTGCGTTTGAAAAATCGCTGCGCGAGTACTATGTGACAGAAAAAATTTCAGTGAATGATGTGTGGCATAAACTTCTAATGCTGGGCATAATATGCCCCCACCCCCCAAAATGACCCCTTTTTGGAAAGTAGACACCCCAAACTATTTGCTGAGAGGCATGTTGAATCAATAGAAAAATTTATTTTTTTACCATAGGTTTTTGGAAAATGACAAACAAAAAAAGTTGGGTTTTTTTTTTACACAAAATTGTCACTTAAATGATTTATTGCTCACACATGTCATGGGTATATGTGTAATTACTCCCGAAATACATTCTGCTACTTCTCCTGAGTATGGGGGTACCACATGTGAGAGACATTTTGGCGGTATAGCCAAGTACAAGACCCCAAAATCCAATAAGCTCCTTCAGGCTTTTAAAGGGCTTTATTTCCTCATTACACTTCCTGACTACCTATCACAGTTTCGGAGGCCCTCAAATGCCAGGATAGCACCAAACCCCCCCAAGTGACTACTTTTTGGAAAGTAGATACCCCAAGGTATTTGATAAGAAGCATAGTGAGTATTTTGCAGATCTCGTTTGTTGCCACAAGTTTTTGTAAAATAAAGAAAAAACCATAAACATATTTTTTCTTTTCTTTTTTTTATATTTCAAAAGCTTGTGAGAAAAAATGAGATTTGAAAAATACTCGCTATGCCTCTTTTTAAATTCCTTGGGGTGTGTACTTTCCAAAAAGGGGTCATTGGGGGGGTATTTTGGTGCCTTCGAAACTGTGATAGGTAGTGAGGAAGTGAAATGAGGAAGGTACGCACGAAGGTTCAGGCTTTCAAAGTGGTCATTGGATATGTGGCTAGGCTCCCAAAAAGTCTCACAATGTGGTATCCCCATACTCAGTAGAAGTAGCAAAATGTATTTTAGGGTGTAATTCCACATATGCCCATGGCTTGTGCGAGAAATATATCATTTAAATGACAACTTTGTGTAAAAAAAAAAAACAAAAAAAAACTTTTTTTTGTAATTTTCCAGAAACTTGTGGAAAAAAAATAAATCTTCCATGGACTCAATATGCCTCTCGGCATAGCTTAGGGTGTCTACTTTCCAAAAATGGGTCATTTGGGGGTGTTTGTACTATCCTGGTATTTTAGCACCTCAAGAAATGTGATGAGCAGTCAGAAAGTAAAAGCTGTGTAAATTCCTTAATCTATACCATAGTTTGTAGATGTTATAACTTTCACACAAAGCAATAAATATACACTTATTGGGATTTTTTTAACCAAAAACATGTAGCAGAATACATTTTGGCCTAAATTTATGATGAAAGTTTAGTTTTTTGGGATATTTTTTATGACAGAAATGAGAAAATAGTTTTTTTCAAAAAAATTTTTTTCTCAAAACTTTTTTTGTTTATAGCATAAAAAATAAAAAGCGCACAGGTGATCAAATACCACCAAAAGAAATCTCTATTTGTGTGAAAAAAGTACATAAATTTAATTTATGTACCACATTGCATGACTGCGCAATTGTCAGTTCAGTTAGTTCAATGCTGTATAGCAAAAAAATGGCATAAATTGCAGTATCTATACCATAGTTTGTAGACGCTATAACTTTCACATAAAGCAATCAATATACACTTATTGGGATTTTTTTTTACTAAAAACATGTAGCAGAATACATTTTGGTTTAAATTTATAACTAACTTTGAGTTTACTATACATTTCCTTTAGCCGAAAGTAAAAAATATTGTTTTTCTTCAAAATTTTTGGTCTTTTTTTGTTTATAGCACAAAAAATAAAAAGTGCACAGGTGATCAAATACCACCAAAAGAAAGCTCTATTTGTGTGAAAAAAAGGACGTAAATTTAGTTTGGGTAAAGCATTGCATGACCACGCAATTATGAGTTGAATTAGTGCAGCGCCGAGTAACAAAAAGAGGACTGGTCATTAAGGGGGGTAAATCCTCTAGAGGGCAAGAGGTTAATGTAAGCTGTAAACAACAAGGGAGAAGGAATCTGTGCTGACATCATCCCCACCAGCTGGGGCTGGCACCAACGGTGTTCATATTTGTGATTGCTTTACTGGCATTTTGTAAGTAGAATCTTTGGATTTTAAAATAAAATTTTGATAGTACTTCACTATGGAAGCTCTCTTTCATATTTAAGTCCACAAAGACAAAAGGGAGGAGACCGTAGCAACTGAACATCTTTGAGGTGGATAATACACATCGGAAAACACACACAGCTTCATGCCTTTGCAGACCACCTATAATTAGGGGTCTGAACGTCTGGTAAGAGGCTGTGTTTGATGGTGGTCAATATATAGTCTTTGATTCATATATTTAATTTTTTCATCATGTTTTTAAATGGTTTTCTCTGATTTAAATTTATATATACATCACAACATATATTTAAAAAGGTTTGAGCACATGGTTGAATGTTTTTGAGTGCACCTCGATAATTTATGGTATAATTTGTATTATCACCAAGCACAGTGTAAGAGGTTTTTTTTTTTGTCTTCACACGTAAACAAGCACATACTAGAAGGACGAAACACCTAATTTTAACGGAGTAGATTGCACATTCCTCATATATCCTCCAGCTCTGGAAATAAAATTGTCAACCAGGGGAGGACTGACAGCTCATGGGGCCCCCGGGCAATAGGGGATCATGGGGCCCCTGTGTCCTTGACCACACTCAAACCACACCCAAAAAAGCCTATAAAAGGTACCAGGGGCATTTCATGGGGCCCCCTACTGACCCTGGGCCCTCGGGCAGTGCCCGAGTGCTCTAATGGTCAGTCCGCCCCTGTTGTCAACTTTCTGTTTCATGACCTTGGAGTTTTCAAAGTTATTCTAGAGATTATACAACCTCCATGCAACCTTTGAGCTGATCCTCGGAGATGCCATCTTTGTCAAAATTTTCTAGCAAAAAGCATATAGCATATAGTAAAATGGCAGCCAGGGTGTTCAGTGCACCCTCCTCTTGTATTTGTGTGCTAACTAAACCCCTGTTTTTAATGCAAACTGTAATACAGGGCAATTCAGGTTGTTCACAAGCTGGTCGGTTAGTTGAGCTGGGAATTGTTCTCTTTTATTGTTTGACATGTATCACCCTTCCATGTCCTCCTTGCTATGAAAGCCAGTTATAGATTGGTGCAATGCTCATTTTTTGTCATGTTGATATGCTGGGGAGGGGATGGACTAGACACCCTGGCTGCCATTGTGCTATATGCTGGGTGTCCAGTGCGCCCCTGTACCTTTAAGGAGGGGTGGGCTCCCTCAGGCTCACCTGTTCTCAGTCTATCCATTTATACTGTACATGTGCTTCTACAATGAAAGCTCGGCTCTCAAAATGTATAGAGTTAGGAACTGCAGAATATTGGGGTGCCATGAAGGGGCTCTGCAGCTTACGGATGTATTTGCAAATGTGTGATAACTAAACTCTTGTTTTTAACGCAAACTGTTAGACACAACAATTCAGTTTGTTCTCAAGCTGGTCAGTAGGTTGAGCTGGGAATTTTTCTCTTCTATTGTTTGACTGGTCCACAACTTATCAACTCCTCCACCCACCATACAAATTCTTTGTTCACAGTTTCCATTCCACTAGGCTGATAATATTATCTGTTATCTTGGGAGAAACATAACAGATAATCCTGCAAATCTCTACGATGAAAATTTTGCACCCCTTCTCTGCAAAATTAAGAATGACTGGAGCCGCTGGCACTCTGAACTTGATGTAGTTTGGATGGAGTAATGCCTTGAAAATGACCTGAATACTTTTTCTATTTCAAGCTCTAACAATCAGGTTACCTTCCATCTTTTTCACACATATTCAACATCTCTTTTGAAAACTCTTTTGGATTCATAAAATGCCCAGAATCAAGATGCAGCTGCTGTCTCTCCTGAAGAGAAGGGGGGCATAGGTTTACTCCCGTATTATTGTGCAACTCACTTAACCAGGATAGTCAACTGGTGCTGTAATGGTGCAGCAAAACCCTGGGTGTCTATGGAAATGGCAGACTCTAACAATTCAGCAGTAAACCTGAAGTGGATTCCCTCTCCACTACCGCCGGAGGTGGGAGAACACCCTACCTTAAGCAGTACCTTATCATTCAACAGAGAAATCTTTCATCATTTCAATATTTTGCCTTCATCCTTTACCCTAGTAATTTGCAACCTGAGTTCAACCCAGGAATACACCGACTTCTGCTATGTGGCTGGTTCCGATTACGTAACTTAGGATTTGGGAGGGTACCCTTCTCCTCCAACTTAGCACAATTTTTAGACCCCCCTTTAGACTTCTGTTGCATAA